CTTTTCAACCTTTCAAAATCAAGGTTCATACAAGTGGTTCGTTTTCTTATACTTTTATATTCAGTAATTTATGCATGAATTGCCAGTGGACTTTAGATTCTTCATTAAAAGATATGAGATCCTATGAGAATTTAAGATGACCTAAGATGTGTATGTCGTTTGGTTATCGATATACTCCATAAGAAAATAGTGGTATGAAATGTTTATTTTATTGTTATATAATTGTGTATGGAAATTACACGTATCTTATTGGGTATTTTTAAATACTCACTCTTACAAAAAATTTATAGGTTAGTTCGGGTTAATTGGAACAGTGACGGGATAGTGATGGGACTGCCAAGATGAATTGAAGAAATAAAAACATTAATTTTTTTTCTTTAGTTTATTAGTTAATTTTATTTATCTAAAGACATGTTATTTAATTAGTGATTATTATATTATTTTCATAACGATAAAAGTTTCATGTTTATTTTAAAATCATGGATATTTCAATTATTTTTTTAATAAACAATATTATTTTATCGTTTCGCTTTTAATACAAAGCAGAAGTGAATTTTTGGTAATACTTCAAAGTGTGAAAATTTGGGGTGTTACGGAAAGCCTGCTCAGCTCCAGTCTAGCTCTGTGTAAGAAGATTGGCTAAATGATAAAATGATAGTTTTTTTCTTGATTTTATGGAAGTGGAAGTGATACTACCCTTGATTTCCTGCTATGTACCATTCATTTACCCAATGTACGTTCATGCATCTACTGTACGACTGATCGATTATTGACTTCTAAGCATCAAAACCTCGAACTAAGAAATGAACGTCAGAACTCTCCAAAATGTAGAATCCAAACCTTAGAGGATTGTTGGTGTTCGAACTCATAAGCACCTTAGGCCCACTCTAAAAGGGTTCAAAAGGAGTTCAACAGTCAAACCCCAAGTCATAGCAAGAGGATGGCCATTGCTTCATCAGTAAACATCATTGCGGGTGTCCAAACTCACAAGCACCTCGGACTCACTCTAAAGGGGTCAAAAGGAGCTTGACCATCAAACCCCAAGTCATAGCAAGAGTCGACCATTAAGCTCATTCATTGAGCTCGAACACGAGTCGCCATCATCATTACATAACTAAAAATGTGATCCCAAGTGATGTCAGCACCTCCCCAACAACCAATAAAAAAGGACAAGTGTTGCTTCTGTTGACACCACTCTTTCCACATATTAGAAGAGAGTAATAATTGTCTAATCTATAGGAGATTATGACTTAGACTACACATGAATGATGACTTGACTAGTCGAACTCAACAATCAATCAAATATCTTCAAAACATGGTTGTTGCACAATAATCAAGTTTAATACTGTAGTTTGACAAGACAAAGGTGGCAAGCTCTTGATTGAAAGGCCTATAAATAGGGGTAATAGTCTCCTAAAAACGAAGAGCTAAGGCACTCCACGTAAGACTCACCTACAAAGTGTCAAGCTAAGCCATTCCTTGTAAAACTCTGCAAAAAACACTTCTCAATTATAATCATCTCTTCTTTACAATATTTCAGAATGTCAATTTTAATCATCAACACTTTTGCTTCATCAATAGGCTATTTCGAGTGCAGAAATTTGGTGATTCTTGATACCATTTCCTATAGGCACTAAATCATATTATAATTTACATTAATATTCAATTTATTGGTTTGATAATTTTGAAGGTTCGGCAGCAAGCCAACACTACATTAGATGCTGAGAACCTAGACAATGCGCATGTTGGGAAAATTATTTTAAAAAAAAAGGTATGTATATATATTTTCTATATATTAAAAGTAGCTATGAAACGAAATATCTCTTTTTGACAGAAAATCTAACGGAATTTTTTGTTTTGACGGACAGTTAATTTTATTCCGTTTGTTTTATTGTTCCAATGTCTATTGGTCAAGAATGTAAAAATGATTGAACAAATTGGAGAAACCAATCACCACCAAAGAGGATGCGGAGAAATCATTAACAATTAACAAAATTGACGAGGGGTAGGAGAGGAATCGGAGCTAGAGGAAGGAAAAATCTTGGGTGTGGAGGACTCAGACGATCCGGCATTGGAGCCCATGAAAACTCCGTATTCAAAGCACCCGTTGGAGTACTTCCAAAGAAGGGCACAAAATTGCCGGCGGCAGTGGCTAAAAAGAAATCGGATAAGGTAGTGAATCCTTTATTCGTGAAGCGCCCGAAGTAATTTGGAATTGGTGGAGCGTTGCCATCAAAGAAAGATCTCCACCGATTTGTGAAATAGCTGCACGTGGTGAGGATTCAGCGCAAAAGATCAAAGAAGCAATTTGTCTTGTTTTAGATTTCACTCATGTGGCTGTGACCGGCGGATTTTTCCTCTTTCTGGAGGTAGTGGAAACTAGAAAGACACCACGCCACAGGTGAGTATAAAATTACTATTTGGTTTCTTGATGTCTGTTGCGACGATTCTAAGACCATGAGAAGACCCGCTTGAAGAACTGCTGGAGAATTCATCATTTGCATCGAAAAATTCCCCTTGAGCAGACTCAAAGCTCCGGCTCTCGATTTGCGAGAATCTTGCTAAGTCAATTGAAGAAAGGAAATCTGTCCAGTACGCATCCCAATCACAGAAAGAAATAGGAGGTGATTTCTACTACACCAGTAGCTATTTTAATCTGGGTTTTCAAGATTTTCATTTTTAGTTCTTTTTCGTTCTTAAGCTCGAGATTTGCACGTAGTGAAGTGGGTTGCTCAAGATTTTCAATTTTCCTTCTTTAATTAATTAATTAATTAATTAATTTTTTTTTTTTTTTGTGTGTAAAATTTCC